GCGTCTCATCGCATGGCAGCCTCATGGAAGAGAGCTCTGGGGATAAAAGTCCGTTAAGGAAGAGTGACCGATCAATCGAACAGCTGTCCTTTGAACAGTACTGATCATAAATTATGTACTCGGAGCGGCAGCACCCTAAACATGTGTTTATGTTGACGAGATGTGTTCGTGCGAGATCCAAGTCCACGTTGATCTGGACTTCGTCGAGCCGAAATGAATGGATAAAACTCAGCTGTCCATCGAAACCGGATGAGCGCTAGGCACTTCTTGACAAATCAAGAAAAAAGACATGGGTCATAGTCCAAATGATTGCCAGGTACATTCAGAACTTAGATCTGGATTTTGCTTAATACCTGTAACTGCGCTGCACAATAAGCCTTATAGCTGAGCAGCGACTAGAAGGCCGCCCAAATCGGGACATTTTTCTCCCACTCATATGGCCTCATATTTCACTGACTTATTTCCGTACGAAATCACGATCTACATAATAAATTCAGACTTTATTGTGACCCTAATCGAGTGGGTTAATTGTATAAGTATATATTTTATAAGTACACAAGAGAAAATGCTCGAAATCCCCCAATAATATTCGGCCTTCGTGTCCGGAATTGAAGCCCAATGTTATAGGCCAGTGAACAGCTGTACATGAAGTTGTGTGAAAAATTTGGCAGAAAGGTATTTGGGAAGTGTGTACAATGTAATTGATATGGTCCTACAAAAAGACCCTCATCTGATGTTTTCAAACAATCTGACAAATGTCAGAGATTCTTGTCGCTCGTTTTTTATTAGAATTCCTACAGTTCCCTGCATATAATAATAATAATGATGACGATGAAAACAATAATAATGTTTATTTGCAACATACAGTTTAGGTGAAAATAGTAGCAAAATACATAAATGATATACAAAAGGGCTGAAAACATTTAAAAATGATCTAGTTGAGCCCTGTAGCTATTACACATTTATAAAAAAGATCTACCTGAGAAAGTCCCGAAAGAAAAAAAAATGTGAGTGATAATACAAAAAAAAATCATTAGTTTGATCGCTTATGCCTCATTTACTTGCGCAGTGGATGTAGAATTTTCAAGCAATTAGGAATTTGATTATAAAGCTGATAAATATTGTATGAGAAAGATCTAAAAAAATAAGAGGTTAGATGACGAAGAGGTCATATGTAGCCCAGAAGCCGCATATTTAAATTATGAACATCAGTGCAAAAAGTGATCATATTGAATAAATTATTAATTTCTTATTCGACCTCAAGCTCTAATACTAACCTCTAGCTTTTTTAATTAACTGTTATATTGAAGCAGGAATTTTCCCGACAAAGTTGCCAAAATTAGACCCTTGTTTTAAGTCTGGCAATGAATTCGGTATATGTAATTTTAGACCGATCTCCCTCCCTAGTCCCTTCTCGAAGGTGTTTGAAAAATATTTCTGTCTGGAACTTATCAGTTTCTTTGGCAGATTCAAATTATTCAATAACAGTCAAGTTGGATTTAGAAATATATGTCAATGCGTTTCCCCTCCGATTGCTCGGTAATGTATGCCGACGATACGACCAGAGAAAACCTGTAGTCTTTGGTAGGACTCGCCAATGCAAGCTTAGCTGGTGGAGGTCAGTGGTTCAGTAACAATGGACTCGTTTTAAACAATAAAGATCTATGTTTTTTAGATTTAATATTTCCTGTTCACCGATAGATTGAAGTTTTTATTAAGATCCTTCGGTAAATCCTTAGAGCAAGTTGGGACGTCAACATTTTTAGGTGTTATATATCACATAATTATAAATGGAATACGCATATCGAAAAAGTTAGCCAGAAGATCGCCCCACTTTGCAACTGCCTGTATCAGTTGAGTTTTATTGTGGATAAATCGATATTACTGATATTTTACCACGCACATATCCATTCAGTCCTAACTTATGGAATCGAAACAACGAAGCATGGGGAGCATCATCGAAACTGCAAAGACTTTTCGTGTTGCAAAAAAGGGCTGTTCGAACAATCACTAAAATGATAAGGCGCACTAGTTGCAAAGATTCATTTAGAACTTTTAAAATTCTAACCCTGCAATCTGTGTATATTCTAAATATATAAATACTCGCTAAAACAAACTTTAGCAAGTGCATTACAACAACACCCGTGCGTACTTTACAAGGAACAGTCAAGTGTTGGAGGTACCGTTACATAGCTTGGCGGTAACGGAGGAGAGTCCTAAATGCATGGCTGTTAAGCTTTTCAACAGACTCTCCAACGATTTAAAATCACAACCACTGAATATTTTTATTTAAAACAATTAAGTAAATTTTACTGAAAAAAGATGTAAAGATGTTTACCCTGTTGAGGAATTTTGAACGTGAGGTTGTCTTGTTTAATTGATTTGAATCATTGTTATTTTATTTTCTTCGTTTTATTATTAGTCTATTTTCAATTGTTTGTTGTAAGGTATACGATAAATGCGTAACTTAGCTTTGTATTGTTTTGACCTATCTAATATCTCACCTGTGATCAAATAGGGTTACTAAATTATCATTATTATTATTTATATTATTATTATTGTCATTATTATTATTGTTAGTTTTAGTGTTTGGCCAATGCTACTACTACTGAGCTAATAGCCATAACCCAACCTTCCTACACGCGATGCCCTCATATTTACAGCCCTTCAAGATAGGGAAAGTAGAACAACGAAATGTGCGCACCCCGATTTGTTTGGAAATTAGATAATTGCTGAAGCGCGAACGATATTATCGTCTCCTTGGTATTGAATTCGCTGTTGATTCTTGAGATTAACGCTTATAGCGTAATTCTGCCTCAAATCAGGTCAAGTGTCTGGTTTATTTGCGAGGTACCCATAGTCCATTTAAGTAGAAAACAATTGTAACGATGTAACACTGTTACATAGATTTCTTCAACGTGGGACAAAACTTTTGAGAATTTTCGAATATCCGCTTTGTGTCAAAGTAACCGAAAATTATATTAGCGTCAAGTAGATTGACTCTAAACTTCCCACATTTTCGAAACAACTTCTAGCACAATTTTCCATGCAGTGCAAGATCACGAAAAATATACTAAGTGACATATAAATCCGAACACCCAGTTTAAATGGTTTTATTTTAATAAAATTTTGTATAAGTACTTAGTGAAGCATAATGAGTAAATGATAAAAATTTCAAAATCATTGCACTGCTTTAAAGCCCTTTGACCTTTAATAGTGTGTGGATGCACCCTGATGTGCTACGCATTCTCCAACGCGCCTAGGCATGCTTCTGATCAGGTGGTCAATGTCCTCCTGTGGTATCTCATTCCAGGCAACCACCAACTCCTCTCGAAGTGCTTCTAGAGTCTGAGGAGGACGTTGCAAATTGAGCAATCTCCTACCCAAACGTGCTCAATTGGGGATAAGTCGGGAGATCTTGGTGGCCATGGTAACAATGTGACATCATTATGTTGAAAGAAGTCTATTGTGACTCTTGCAACATGTGGTCGGGCATTATCTTGTTGGAAAGTTGAATCTGCCAGGGTGTCAAGATAGGGTAAAAGATGGGGTTCTAGAACTTCGTGGATATAACGCTGCGCGTTCATGTTACCTCTGATGAAGATTAAAGGTGACCTGGAACCATAAGCTATAGCACCCCAAACCATAACTCCAACAGTGTGATGAACATGTCTTTCAACAAAAAACTGTGGATTCCTCCTTTCACCACGTCGCCTTCTAACCCTGACACGGCCATCGTGCATGCCTAAACAAAATCGAGACTCGTCACTAAAGACAATACTGTTCCATTCCTGATACCAGAGTGACCGTTGTCTGCACCACTCAAGGCGATTACGTCGGTGTTCTCGAGTTAAAGGGAGGACCCAGTGTGGCCGGTATGAAAACAAGCCAAAACTTCTAATTCGTCGGTAAAAACTTCGCATGCCAATAGGTCTTCCGTGTTCTGCAAACCATTCATTTGCAATGGACCTGGTAGTGGAGAAACGGTCCCTTAAGGCCAATAATCTTAGGCGGCGATCTTCACGGTCTGTTGTTCTACGGCGGCGTCCAGTGCCCCTTGCTCTTTGCGTACGGCCTTCTCGATGCCATGCCTGGCAACACCTAACCACAGTGTCTACACTTCTTTGCACTCTAACTGCAATTGCCCGAAAAGAAGGTCCAGCTTCCCGAAGTCCCACTATACGGCCCCTATCAAACTCACTAAGTTGAAATCGTACAGGTTTCCGTACTCTAGGCATCGTAATCGATCGTAAAGGATGTCAAGAACCAAAATCCGCCAACGTTGATTCTTTACTGCGGCTGAAATATTCATTTTTAGAGCGTTAGTGAATTAAAAAAAATCAGTATAAAAACCGGAATGTCCAACTGATAAGGCTGAAAATTTTTTCACTTGTTATTTACAGTAAGATAAATACATTCACCAACTTTTATTAAAATAAAACCATTTAAACTGGGTGTTCGGATTTATATGTCACTTAGTATACACTCCTAGGTTTCATCAGAATCATTAGGGCACTATTTGTGCTTTTTATGGAAAATATTTCCTCAGATTTACAGCAATAAGCTTATCTGTTCACGGTAGCCTCATTTCTTTGCATCTGTGGTGTAAAATTGTTCGCCAACAATGTTTGATAACTGAGTATAATAGCTCTTGATACGTACTTATCTACTATATTTACTACACTATACAGTGTATCCCAGATTTTTTTCTCTATACAGGGATCTCGGCTCCTGTTATACCTGCAGCAAAGGTTAAATGGGGTGGGTTTTAGAGGAAACTGCATTCCATAGCCGGCTTCAGATTTACGATCGGTCAATTGGTTTTGGAAATATCGGCGAAAAACCGAAAATGCTGATTTTTGTTTTTTGGCAGTAAATCCGAACGGTTAATTTGGCAGCTGTCAGAGTGTAACATTTTTTCAGATAGCGTGTATGACATGCCTTAATCGTCTTCTGTTTTCCGGCAACCTGTCACAACTTTCACTTTTCTTATGGTTCGACGAGACGAGACGAAAAATATTGAGAATACTCCTTCAAACAGGCTGTTGAAAAAAAGGATGCGCGACCTTAACATTTGAAATGACGTACTAAGATTGCACATTTACCGAATTTTGTAATGACATGCTACGTCCACCAAATTTCTGAATTAGATGTCCGTTTGTGGATAAAAGTAGATTAATTGACAATTTTGATTTATTATTTAATTTCGGTATATCCTAGTTACATTTGTCTTGTTGCAGGCAAAAATTGTCGGGCAGATTTGACAGAGTTTCTGCATTTCCTCCTTATTTCACAGTAGACGAACTTTGGATGTATAGAAAAAAGAAACCTGGTATGTACGCTAACTACTCAATGAAATAAGCATTTATTTTTATTACTTTGCTACAGAATTTCAGATCACTATGACAATATGATATTTTTAATTCTAGATGCTTCTTCGCTTAGGGATAATCTGAAACTGGAGAAAGGTTCCTTCAAATTTTTGAAGACTGAATACATGCGACAGTTTAAAAATTTTTATGAACTCCTTAAGGCAAAAAACGGAAACAAGGTAGCTTTTAGCTTGAGATTATGATGTGCGAAAATGCAGATTTTTTTTATTTCAGCCCATCATTTTTACTACTCATCCAGTTAAACCTTTGGTTAACTTGAACTTAGAGGGTCACCAGGAGTATCACTCCCAGTATAAAGAGTCGTATGGCAAGCAATGGATAAATGGTCTCGAAAATATACCCATGGAATATGAAACTAGGTAGGTTCACAGATACAATACGAATGCTCTGAACAGATCTACATTTTTAAACAATATAAGGCGTAACTTCTACGAAAATTTAAGAACGTAAATCACGAAAAATCTTGTGTTAAGTTTGCTCAAAGCCAATTTTATTTTTCCAGACTCTTAGAGTTTGGCGTTGTTGAGAAAATGGCGTCAAGTAGGTTGACTCTGTACATCCCACTGAATTCTGTAAAAAATTAAATAAGCTCGGCTCATTTTTCGGCCTAATTTGTACTTGACACAAGCTTTAGTCAAAAACCCTGATGAGATCGAAGCCCTAATCTAATAGGTATATGATGAATGAATGAGGGTCCAAAGTAATGGACTCCAGTAGCTCAGAGCTTCACAGCGACACAAAACGTGACGCCTTAACGTGTTATGGCCAGACAGCAGTCCCACCAGCAACCTTAGGTTGGCTCTATCCAGAGATAGGCCCTTCAATGAGTTCCCGTGCCTGGCGGAGATGTTTGGAGATACTTCTCCATTTCTGAGAGTGTTGGCTCGCAACCCACGTCTTCATTTTCCTCCTAGCTTTATGCGCGGTCACTCCTAGAGCTGGCTCAGGACCAACGAGCTTGCTGGCTGATCCTGTCTTCGGCAGAGTGTTCGCCGTCTCGTTGCCCCTTATCCCCGCGTGCCCCGGTACCCATGTTAACGATACCGGATGCCTCGCTGCGAGGCAATCCAGAGCCTCCCTGCATTGCAATACAAGACTCGAAGTAATCTTACAGGCACTTAGTGCTTTCATTGCAGCCTAGCTGTCGGATAAGATTGTTATTCTTCTCCTAGGCCCACCCTCCTCCAGAATGTGAGATACACAAGCCAGAATCGCAAAGATTTCCGCCTGGAAAATAGTGGTGTACCACCGAGAGGCAGAGATAGCCTAGTTCTAGGCCCAGAGACCCCAGCACCTGAGCCCTCTTCGGTGACCCAGCTGTCCGTGTACCAGACCCGCCCGCTCACTTCGGAGAGTCCCCGGCTACCGGCGTCCCACTCCTCCCTCGTTGGATACTCCACAATAAACTTGCGGTTGAAGCAATATTTAGGGCTAATACGATCACCCTGACTCCACAGTCGATGAGCGACTACTCTCGCTTTTCTCAAAGCCAATTTTATTTTTCCAGACTCTTAGAGTTTGGCGTTGTTTGAGAAAAGGCGTCAAGTAGGTTGACTCTGTACATCCCACGCAATTCTGTAAAAAATTAAATAAGCTCAGCTCATTTTTCGGCCGAATTTGTACTTGACACAAACTTTAGTCAAAAACCCTGATGAGATCGAAGCCCTAATCTAATAGGTATATGATGACAATATGTATACAAATTGTTCTACAATAAAGACCATTGGTAAAATATACGCCACACGCCTATGGCTTGCGCCAAGGCTAAACTAAGGTCGGTGACGTATACCTGTACCTTTGCCGCCAAAACGAGGATCGTAACCCAAGACGTGTAGTGCAATTGGCGTGTTTTGAACTTATCAGCGATTTAATTTGTCTGATAGATAATAAAACGTCTTTCATTGATACAACATTTACATCTTTACATCCTCTCACCCTCTACAACCTCACAATTTCCAATACTTACAAAAACATTCTGAAAAATGGACAGGAACGTCTAAAAACGAAGGTTTAACCGATTTTATTCTCCGTTTTTTCTAGCAACTGGATCGATTTTTAAAACAACACATAGTTATGGACGGGTCAAGGATTAGCGCATATACAGAGTGTCAGACAAAATAAAAGGAAAACATAGTTTTTCGTTTTAGAATATTTGCACAATCACAATACTTCCTATCTAAACACACTGCTCCATAGAATAATTTTTATTTCGAAAATGGTATATCTGGACGAAAAATTCCGAGAGGTAATTTTTTAGTAGAATCAAGATACCGACACTAATTTCCTGAAAACACTTGGAGGATTGTATATTTTATGATGTTCCAGTTGCTGGTGCTCGAGAAATCATACTGCACACACTAAACTGCCCCTCTTAACGTGTCAAGGCGAACACACACCTCAACATTGCTCCTAATGATAGTTTTGGCCCTTGTAGCCGCACCTAACTCAAATTGCTCCAAAAGCGGAAACACTGGGCACTTTCAAGCTCATCATCAGCCTTAATGTACTCTATCATACGCTAATATATCGATTTATTATAAAGCTGATGGGCAAGGCCAAAATGTTTCCTCTATTATGGAACACTCGCGAATTTCAGTAGTATTCCATCTTTCTAGTGAAGCAGTCACGAAATAGTGCTAACACTTTTCTATTTGTGGAATTGACATGATAGCTATAGTGTAAATAATAAGTGAAAGTACATGTTTGCGTTGATACACGGTAATATTTTAGCAGATTAAAGCTTTTACCTTATACTGGGTGTTTCAAATTCGACTCTCACCGTTGGGATCTCGGAAAAGGTAAGAGATACAAAGTCGGTCATACGGGGACAAAGGTGCGCATCGTGGTAAAAGAAAATGGCACAGGAGGTTTTGCAATATCGAGTATCTCCTGAGTTAAGAGAAAAGAACTGAATTTTCCCTCAACCGTTTTAATTTTTCTGCTTTATTTTATTTATCTGCTTTATTTGAGATGGGATTTAAAAATAAATTGCATATTAACATTACCAATTTTCCTCCTCTACCAGGTGGTATAATACGAATTTCAAATTGACTTTTATCAACATTTTTCCTTATAGACGCCATATTGCATATAATGTTTAATTCTGAGTCTGAAAATATACATTGACATTGCCAAACCTAAGTTATTTAGAAATCACTAATACTTTCAGAGTTGGCTTTGAAATGACAGTTCGCCAATGCAACTATTTCTGAGAAGCGTGTTTTAATGACATTTTGCTCATTTTTCGACTGTAACAAGGGTTATTTTAGCACGATGAAGGCGCTATACATGAAAACCTCTACCGTAGAATAATAAGAAGTTTGTAAATTAAGTAATGAAAGTGGCGACGTAGCATTAGATCTAGCAGCACTGGAGGCGCCGAGCTTGGAAGGAAGACAGCGGTACATGTGATCCGCCTTCAGTATAAGTTTGAACTCGCTCGAGTATTTTGGTTGACCGTAGCGATTTTTTTTTGTGAAACCGTTTTTCCTATTGCGTCCTAACAATGAGTGACATCAATTTCGAGCAACGGTGTGCTGCAGACTTGGGTACTGTGCAAATGACACTCTTAATAAGCATAAGCAGGCCTACGGAGATAGTGTTCTGTCAAGAGCTCAGGTTTTTCGGTGGCTTAAGGCATGTTCACAGGGGAGAGAGTCGATTGAAGACTAACCACGAAGCGGAAGGCCTGCATCTTTAAGAAGCGTAGGAAATATCGACAGAATCCAGACCTTGTGCTTTGAGATCGTCGATTGACCGCATGATTGGGCAAGAGTTGTCACACATCAATGTCAATAAATGAGTTATTGGTCAGTCAAAACATTCCTGTGGTTCCTCAGCCTCCTTATTCGCCTGACTGGAGCCGTTGTGACGTTTTTCCTCTTCCCGAAGTTGAAAAATCACCTCAAGGGAACTGATTTTTGGACAGTCGAAAACTTCTGTAACCGACCAGCTGAAGGTTCCTATCAGCAGTTACATAAAAGAATGCTTTCAATATTTCCAATTCGACCCTTAAATAACATAAAAACGTTTTAGCATTAGGTGGTTCTTTATTCGATCAGTTAAGACCAACTATAGGAATATTACGTTTTTAGATATCAGGGTGGCGCATCGAAAACGAAACAGACGCATTTATTGACAGCTCAGTTTTTTTTGAAAAACGCTCAGACCCGTCGATTTTGTTTTCGAGGGGGACACAAGTTTGGCAAAAAATCACGTTAGCACGTGCAGCCCCCTAAGCAGGGTTGACACCGCCCCCAAAATATGAAATGGAAAGGGGGTCGAGTGATACCTTAGTTTAAAGGTCTTTCAATTCCCTTTATAATGATATAAAATTAATGTACCAGTTCAGTAGTTTTGAAGATTTATTAAGCTTAAATAAAACTAATGCATCATCATTAGTGGAGATCAATACATTTGGCAGCAAAGTAATTTAAAAATGAAGAATGAACTGACTCGTTAGGCAAGTAAATGTTGAAAATGGCCACCATGACTCTCCATGCAATAATAAAGATTTTGGTCAAATCGTTGCCGCACATTTCACCGGTCAAATTTCCAGGTAAGAAAAAAGGACCAACTAAATGATCGCCAAAAATACCAGCCCAAACATTTAATTTTTGTGGCTGCTGTGTATGAACCTCATGATAAATTCTGGGATTAGAATCGGACCAATATCGGCAGTTATGACGATTTACTACGCTATTTAAGAATAAGGAGCATTCCTCGGAAAAGCAAGTGTTGAATAGAAAATGTTCATCGTTTATAATTCGTTCACTCATATCTTCACAAAATTGTAATCGCCGATCAAAATCGTCTTCATTATCTTGTACCAGGTGAATTTTATACGGATGAAAACTATGGGCCTTTAGAATACGTTGGACAGTACGTCGACTAACACCACAAACAGTCTCCAATTTGCGGGTACTTAACGTAGGATCTACATAAACTTGCCCTAAAACCCGCACTTCTGTTGCTTCGTTTCTTATGGGATTATTTTCAATGTTGCGTTTTTTATTGGCGACTGACCCAGTTTCCCGAAATTTAGCTACAATTTCTAGAACATATACTAAGTGACATATAAATCCGAACACCCAGTTTAAATGGTTTTATTTTAATAAAAGTTGGTGAATGTATTTATCTTACTGTAAATAACAAGTGAAAAAATTTTCAGCCTTATCAGTTGGACATTCCGCTTTTTATACTGCTTTTTTTTTTAATTCACTAACGCTCTAAAAATGAATATTTCAGCCGCAGTAAAGAATCAACGTTGGCGGATTTTGGTTCTTGACATCCTTTACCATCGGTTACGATGCCTAGAGTACGGAGACCTGTACGATTTCGTCAACTTAGTGAGTTTGATAGGGGCCGTATAGTGGGACTTCGGGAAGCTGGAATTTCTTTTCGGGCAATTGCAGTTAGAGTGCAAAGAAGTGTAGACACTGTGGTTAGGTTTTGTCAGGCATGGCTTCGAGAAGGTCGTACGCAAAGAGCAAGGGGCACTGGACGCCGCCGTAGAACAACTGACCGTGAAGATCGCCGCCTAAGATTATTGGCCTTAAGGGACCGTTTCTCCACTACCAGGTTCATTGCAAATGAATGGTTTGCAGAACACGGAAGACCTATTGGCATGCGAAGTGTTTACCGACGAATGAGAAGTTTTGGCTTGTTTTCATACCGGCCACACTGGGTCCTCCCTTTAACTCGAGAACACCGACGTAATCGCCTTGAGTGGTGCAGACAACGGTCACTCTGCGATCAGGAATGGAACAGTATTGTCTTTAGTGACGAGTCTCGATTTTGTTTACGCATGCACGATGGTCTTGCCAGGGTTAGAAGGCGCCGTGGTGAAAGGAGGAATCCACAGTTTTTTGTTGAAAGACATGTTCATCACACTGTTGGAGTTATGGTTTGGGGTGCTATAGCTTATGGTTCCAGGTCATCTTTAATCTTCATCAGAGGTAACATGAACGCGCAGCGTTATATCCACGAAGTTCTAGAACCCCATCTTTTACCCTATCTTGACACCCTGGCAGATCCAACTTTCCAACAAGATAATGCCCGACCACATGTTGCAAGAGTCACAATAGACTTATTTCAACATAATGATGTCACTTATCCCCAATTGAGCACGTGTGGGATATGATGGGTAGGAGATTGCTCAATTTGCAACGTCCTCCTCAGACTCTAGAAGCACTTCGAGAGGAGTTGGTGGTTGCCTGGAATGAGATACCACAGGAGGACATTGACCACCTGATCAGAAGTATGCCTAGGCGCGTTGGAGAATGCGTAGCACATCAGGGTGCATCCACACATTATTCAAAGGGCTTTAAAGCAGTGCAATCATTTTGAAATTTTTATCATTTACTTATTATGCTTCATTAAGTACTTATACAAAATTTTATTAAAATAAAACAATTTAAACTGGGTGTTCGGATTTATATGTCACTTAGTATATTTTCGATGCACGTTACTGTTCTCATGTCGCTCATTAAATATTTCTGCTGTTCTATTAGCGCACTGATTATTTTCGAAAAATATATCGATAATTTCAACTCTTTCTGCTGTGGAATATATCATGGTTAATTTATGTAATAAGGCGTTACAAGTTATTTTGGCAACAAAGTTTGGTCAAATCAATCGCAAACTAGGTACTAAATTCCTATTTAAAATAAGTACCAGATATTTCCTCATCTTTCATCAAGAAATAACTTTGTTGCCACAAAAAAAAACGCTCAAATAGCTATTTCCAACAACAAAATGATAAACAAACCATGGGCGTAGTGAAGAAAGGCATTTACTTATTAAGTAAATTCTTTTAGTCAAATTTCTTCTGAAAGTAGTACAAACTAATCTGATGTACCCATTAAAGTCTACTTTAAGCTTTAAATCAATAAATCTTCGTAACTACTGAACTGAAGTAGATTAATTTTATCATTATAAAGGGAATTGAAAGACCTTGAAAATAAGGTATCACTCAACCCCCCTTTCCATTTAAGATTTTAGGGTTGGTGCCACCCCCGCCCAGGGGGCTGCACGTGTTAACGTGATTTTTTTTGCCAAACTTGTGTCCCCCTCGAAAACAAAATCGACGGGTCTGAGCGTTTTTCCAAAAAAAGACTGAGCTGCCAGTAAATGCGTCTGTTTCGTTTTCGATGCGCCACCCTGTATATATATATATATAGGTGAAAAATTAAAGCTTCCGCCTTTTGTTGGGTACTTCGACAAAATTTAAGCAAAGAGAACTCTTTATACTTTTTTAATTCTCTCTAGCTTTCAATGGACTTTGCCATCATCATCAGGAGAGTAGTATGTGAGGATGTTGCTAATTGTTGTTTACGTACTTGATGATTGCACCATCAAGTGGCTTCACGATGTAATGCTTTAATGTTTTTAAATAATGTTTAATCTGTTTTTAACTTGTTCTAGTCATATTTTATATAATTTTGACCATTGTACCATCTATCCAGCTCTCACCATGTTACTGGACGTTTCCCTCATCCTATACGTAAACAACAATTAGCAACATCCTCACATACTACTCTCCTGATGATGATGGAAAAGTTCATTGAAAGCTAGAGAGAATTAAAAAAGTATAAAGAGTCCTCTTTGCTTAAATTTTGTCGAAGTACCCAACAAAAGGCGGAAGCTTTAATTTTTCACCTAACTGGTCTAGACGACAATGACCACGTCTCAAGTTATATATATATATATATATATATATATATATATATATATATATATATATAAATGAGGTTTTATAAGGCCGATCCATGTCATGATATGTACAATAAATATAACATCATTAAAGCTCGAAATATGAACTGTCCACCAATCATATAAGAACTGAAAGAATGCTTGAGTGATGTTGTGATGAAACAAATGACAATCTGGTAATTTCAGGGCCTATGCAATTTTTTAAATAACGAAGGTCTGGCAAGATAAATGTATGACATAGTATACAGTATTTGGAACAATTAAAAACTCTGTTCACCTATACCAAAATTCGATATGGCTTGTATAAGAAAAAATAAACTTGATGATTGAGACAAGAGACGAATCATCATATTGAAATTCTAATTATCCCAACATGTAGAGGAGAAAAATTTACAGTGTTAATGTACTTTTTATTTTGGAATCTCACTCAAAATTAGGAAAAAATAAGAGCGATTTTGAGAAAATTCTGTTTCTTTCATCTATCTCCATAAATACCGTGGTTAGTTACTTAGTTATTAAATGTGCAACTTTGTCTCTATTCAACACGACTTCGTATATCTTACCCATTCCGAGATTCCAAATGATTATAATACAACTGGATTTATAGGAAAAGTTCAGTTTATACTATTTACTAACCCTGCCTTGCGTCTGATAGCATCTCCGGCGGAGATGCTATAGTATCGTGGCTGGTGCTTGACTGCTTGCAGCGTTTTTGACTAGTGTGGTCCAGCAACGTTTTCAAATGGTCGATACTTAGAATAGGTAAAAATTCATCATCAACCATTTAATTTTTTTGTTATACATGTTTGTAGCTAGCTCAGAGGTACTAACTTGTACCGAGCATAATCCTTTATGAACAGCGTTGTGTGGGAAGAATAGAGCCAACCTACTAGACGCCATTTTTCCTTAGAGAAAGAAATAATAGATGCTCAAATCCGTTAACCGCGCAGGCCACCCCACCAGCTTTCAACCGGAAACATCAACGTCTCTCAAAACATTAAATGAATGTTGGGCTGTGTGAGCTGTATCCCCATGTGATCTCAACCCAAATTGCAAGCGCTCGTTGAGGAAGCTCATCCCTTGGGACATTCGATTTATCCAATTTGGTATTCTTTACATTTTCGGATATGTTTATGGTGATAGATCAGCATATTTATCTTCCTGTATGATGTATTTATTTCAGTCAAAATGCTCCTCAAGATCAATCCTTACCACTCAGGCCATTAAAACTAGGTAGAAGACTGCTGAAGAAAAGACCAACTCTGTTAAAATTGGAGGGAGAACATTACTACATCACTGAGTATACGGACAGATATATCAAATACGCAGTTTTGGAAAGAACACAACTTTTAAGGTACATTTCCATTACTACAAATTTGTAACATGGGTCGCGCAACATGTGCTGCGAACATTTCAATTTGTGTTGCAAATATCGAAGTATAAATGATTTATACAAATTTGTAGGCATAAAGTTTTAACAGCAATTTTTTTTATATACAGAGTATGTATGATATCGAATTTGTACTTTTTCAGACGGAATACTCTGAATATTTTTATTGAAAATGATAGCCGTTTTTTATGATTACAAATATATGGTTAATCATATTTATTTTCAATTGTTTGGTCATAAACTTAAATTATGTGTGTGTTATTTATTCATGTAAGGTAACTTGACCAAATATGGGCACCCCTAAGCAAATTATGTCGCCAAACGTTTAATATCCATTATAAAACAATTAAATTTCTGGTATGTATACCTTGGGTTATGTAAATAAAAAAAATGTTGATCGAATAGGAAAATACAACTTTATTATGGATTAAAAATATAAACAATAAATAACTGTCAAGTGCCCATATTAGGCGCCTGGGTTCCAAATATGAGCACTAGGTCCCCATATTTGGATACGCCTTTTGGGGACTCAAGATAAAACAAAGAAATATGAACTTAGCAGAGCTTTCTATATATTTAACAGAATTTTCTAAGAAAAATAGTAAATATTTCATTACTTGAAAAACAGGGGAAAACTCAAACTTTAAATGGCAGCAACAACTAGCTGCTCACAATTTAAACATTATCTTCACATTGCGGGCAAATTACTTATGTCTTTTGAGGTCAAGCCTCAGCATTCCTCGTGTACCCATGTCTTGCAAAAGGTGCACTGCCACATATCTCTTTTCTGGTCTTCTTCACATAGAGGACAATACCACGATTCTGCCTTGGCATTGGACAAACCAGTACAGGCAGCTTTATTTTACTTCTTTGGTGGATTCTGTGGTATCTTTGATATTGCCTTTCTACCAGTCCTTCGAGCCGCAGACTTAGCAGGAGGCTCTTGTGTTGGCAGTAGCTGTGAAAAAGATTCCATACTTTCATCTGTAGAAGTAGCTTCTTCTTCGATATGTGCTCTCGAAGTTGAAGGTTTGGGAGACGAAGTTGCAGGAGGGTCAACAATATTTTCATCGAGTACTTTAGCTCCAGGGGGAAGATTGTCAGAAAATTCGGGCTTATTTCTCTTGCCTTTAAATAAAATGACTGGAATATCATTTGTCCTAGAGCATTCTCACAGGAGACCACAGTGACATTTTCCGCGTGTTCTGGAGCTACAAAAGGTACTTTTCATTCCCTTGCAAGTCAACACATCAGGCTCCTTATGGACAGTTAGCTGACAACCCTTCTCATTCATGTTAAAAATTAAATGCGGTTTATCACTTTTTTCAGAGTGTCAAAATAATGTGCAAGAATAAGTTTATTTAGCTTTGCTGCTTGTACTGGGTTAATGTTTTGAGATTTTCTTCGAGCAACATCAGGGTGCCGTCTAAGAAATAACTTCAGCCATTTCCTTCCAACCATAGTTGACTGTTGCTTGTTAAACACTGAATATTATTAGTACACTTCTGCGCAATATTTTAGATGTAAATGGCATTCCTATCTCAGCAAGTCTAAGTATTCTTGAGCACAACTCGTCTTCCTGGTCCTTAGTCAAGATAGATTTGCGACCCAATCACTTTGTTTCCAGATCTGGCATGGCGCTGAAAAGTGCTCCGTGGTATACCAAAATTGATTGCTGCCCGCTTTATTTTCATACCCTGCTGAATTGCCGTAGCAGCTTCACTTAGGGACTCAAAACTCCAGTGAGCTCTTTTTTTTTGGCGCCATCTCCTGGAAAAATGAGCCCAACGTAGAAAAACATAGTTCAATTGAGCAAAAAATGATAGTGTTCCAAATATGGGCACTGCTCATATTTGGCGCTCTCACGAGTGCCCATATTTGGCAAAATGAAACTTTGGGACTATTTCAAACAATACTTACTTTTGCAGTTTTATATGTAAAAATCACGGACGCTATAAGCAAGTAAGAGTTACCAGCTTCACATTGATATATGGTGATCAATATTTTATTTACATTTAAAATAAAAAATCGACGAAAGTATTATAGACAGAGATTACAAGGTCCACGTGCACGGCAGCCATTTCCTCTATTTACATACTGTAGAGCGCCACCTCGTAGATGATATGGAAAACAATTTATTCAGTAAGTTTGTCTATGCTTAGTGGATATATTTAACTGTAAGTTACAGAGAGACCTATATTAGAATTATTTTATTCCCGACAGTGCCCAAGTTTGGATCAGTGCCCATATTTGGTTCAGGTACCTTATATCCGAGTTCAAACCAATTTGCATCTAGCTAGAGATGGCCTGTGACACAATCACAACTTCCGAATGACGATGGGATTGATATCCTCAGCAAAGGTGGCCAAGTATTTGCAATTTTTAAATGTTATTATTGTTATTCGTTCTCTGCTGTTTTTTTTTGTTGCAGTTTTAATGGAGGAGGGTCAGTTTTCGCATATATAAGAAAATAACAAATGATAACTTACATTTAAAATATCAATGTAATGAGCACCACTGACTGTTATGCAGGACCTACATTTTGTCATAAATCATTTTTTAACCTACAAAAAAAGACCTCTCGAATGCTCGAGGCTGCCTCAATTTTGTAACTCAATTCTGTTACTGTGTCCAGCACAGCTCGGTATGCATATTCTCTAAATCCAAAGTAGGTCCAGCGATCCTGGTGGCAATGAAATAAGGCCGCGCAGCTTGATCCACCTTTATGAATGTTGCATTTTTGTAGTTGGAGTGGTCTCGATCTGACCGAGTGTGATGTGCAGAATTATTAATGAGTAATCATATGTTGCAGCAGATCTTAATTAGAATATTTCGATTGAATGCTAGAAGAAGCAGATACATAATTCCTAAGTTTTATAATTTTTAAAAATCCGTAGTTGTTCAGATCCTCTTGTTATTTGTATTTTGTACACCCTGTATATATTTGGAATAAGAAAAAAGCAACTATCCTTGTGACAATAAATAAATATATATACAGGGTGCTTCATTTAAAAAATACAACTTTTTTGGATACAAAATAAGCATTGCCTGAAAAACTATACAAGGTGTTTTTAAAGTTCAGTTATTTATTTTAACAGCTTGTAGAACTCGTTAAAAGAAGTTGGTATACAAAAAATCACTTATACAACGGTTGCACAATAAGAGAGTTAGCTATTAAGAATTATTAAAGAAATTATTATCAAGTTAAATGGTTACCGTTCTAAAAAAACTGTTCAAAATTGTCCCCATTTGTTCGAAAATAAAATCCTGAAGTCCACAAATTAAATCACAAGCAACTCTTTCAAATAGCCCCACAGAAAAAAATCGCAAGAGGCAGGGCAAGAAATGGGTCCATGCGCCCCATCCATCTACATATTCGGAAACCCATTATTTAGATGTGGAGCCCCAGGAACCACATATTCTGTCTCACATTTAGAGGAACATCTTCTAATAATTGTGGCAGATTGTGTCGAAGAAAATCTAAATAAATTTAGTAAGGTCCAATAAGCATTGAATTCACCACGCCGGCCCATATGTTTTATCAAAATATATGTTGAAAATGAGTTCTAATTACAGCAAGCGGATTTTATACTGCCCAAACATATAGTAGTCTAGTACTCATTGTTGGGTCGTCTTTGACCATTTTTAAAATGTCTTCCTCAATTTGTAACATTTCAGGTTGAGCAGGTCTTCTAGCGTAACCTACTCGTTGTTCTTTTAAATATCCTGTGTTACGAAGTCTAATAACTAAATTTACAAACATACGTTGGGCCGGATGATTTCTTAAAGGAATCCTATCTGCATACAACCTGCATGTTGCGGCTGCATTTTGTTGGCACTCTCTGTCCTAGTAGTGCACTAGTTCATTGTTTTCGTAAACATTTGCCATTTTTTCGCACAAAATAATCAGGCAAATTAAAGTATAGTATCTATTAAAACAATGATACAACTAATCGGACCAAAGACTCGCACTGAAAACCATACAATAACACAAAAAGTTTTGCCAAATTTAAACAAACGATAAGAGTAGTAAACAAAAAACGCTAAGATTTTACACGGCAGTTGTCGAGAATATAATAAATATATTTTATTATGCAACTTCTATATAGGTGATTTTGATCATATCAACTCCTTTTGACGAGTCCTACAAGCAGTTAAAATAAACGAATTAGCTTTGAAAACACCCTGTATATTAGACCCTACAACTTTTGTATATAACTTTTTTTTCTGAAATGTCTTGCGAAAAATTATAGAGAGGGGTTAATTTATAGCGTGACACCCCGTACATGTTGTACAGCGTGCGTCCGCCACATGCATCTTGTTATATTTTAACATAAATTTAAGGACGCCTACCCACCTAAAGCTAGAAGGAGGAATGGAAGATAAGACTGAAACTAGAGATACATTTGTTAAATACGATAATATTGGAAGGCCACCGTTATGTAAAAAGTTCACTCAACTACATTTAGAGGGCAGTTTTGACTTTTCTACTGATCATATGAGAAGCTATCCTCTTCGTGAACACTCCGAGAGGCCTTCTTTAGTAAGGAAGTCAACGAATTTGCATTTGGAAGGTATAATTTTCACTTTATATGGTTACTTAATACAATATTTGAAGGATTTATGCTTGAAACAATAATTGGGTGACAACAGAAATGAAAAAATATTACGCATTATAGAAAAATAAATTCTTTTTTTTTAATACTGAAAAGTTGTACTCCAATGGTAATTTAAAAATGAACTGATATCAGTCGGAGGATAGTCCCTGTCCTTCACACTGTCATCTGAAGTAAATCCAGAACCACCTTTGTTCTCTGCATCATTGTAACATCCTTCGACTAATTTCCGTTTGATACCCATCTTGGAATTTAAGTGGCCTATTTTGTTTTCCTGGCGTTAAATGTATTTTATAGAAATTATAGCGACATCTACGAGGTTTGTTCAATTGAAACCCATCTTTGTTCCAGAAAAAAGTTATTGGCAAATATATCTACAATTAATTACCACTATAATTAAGGCACAAAGCTCATTGTTTCACCAATCGATGTATATACCCTACTTGAAAAATTCTTGTGACTTTTACGGTATTTTGTACTTCTTGGTCCGATTGAAAATGTTTACCTTTTAAGGCGGCTCCGACGCAGTGAGTTTCAGGCCATTTACAAGGGTTTAGCTGCTTCGGAATTGACGCTCCATTTTTCTATATATTTGAATAAAATTTATACAGTATGTTAAGAAGACAATTGTCCAGGGTGCTATAGAGCCACTTTTCTAAAAAAAATTTTTTTTCAGGAGTTATGGTGGGTGGAAGTGCAGATAATTGTTGTTCGACTTCTCGATTTTTTTAAAAATAACCCAGAGGAAAAAACGAAAAAGTGGCTCTATAGCACCCTGTGGAGTCTTGTTTTTAGTGCACTGTGAAAATTTCATTGAAAAATATTCAAAAATGAAGCGTCAATTTTGAAGCGCGAAAACCTCTGCAAATAGGCTTTTACACGAATTTTATCCACTATCTCGTGCTGCCAGTCGAAGCAACGCGGCGGTGTGTACGGACTAAGAAAGGACGTATTCAGATAATTTGTTGTCCCAAGTTAAACAGTAGCAGTTTTAACGTCGGTCGTTCGAGATAAACATCGGACCATTAAGTGATATTTTTAATAGACTTCAATGAAAGAGGGGAAAATTTTAATCGATTTTGATCATTTCTTTTTATACAATAGGCCATGCTTCAGAGGTGATACCACAAAAAATCATTTTTGTTCAATCACCCCAATATGGATATCAAATGGAAGCACTTGTACAAAACAGTAATACGAAAACAGTTTCAAATCAAGATGGCGGCCGTTACAAAATGGCGGATAACATACTTGCTAATATCTCAAATAAGAGTCGTCGCCTTGTAGAATACAGTACTTCACTAAAAATTTGATTCCAAGATTGCCGCCGTTTCGAAATTGCGAATTACATATTTTTGTACAAAACCCCCAATATACATATCAAATGAAAAGACTTGACATGTGTGGTAAAATACAGAACTTTGTGACCAAAAGTTTCCAGGTGGTTCCAGGGTCATTGGAGGCGGTAATCTTTTTAGTTAAAAATAATAATTATAGTGAACGCATTTACCACAAATAAAATGTCACTTGCTGTTTAGCTTTAACCTTATGGAGTATCGTAAAATAAACTTAACACGTCATGAGATATAATGCGTGTGTCGCAGCTCATTTGGCGCTTTGGGCCTCGTGACACACATGATATGTCTCACTGCTGGCAGTTATATTTGGCCGCGTAACGTAAGACGTGTGCCATGCTGATGTGATTTTCTTACGGGAACCAAGAGTCCGTGGCCTGAGGGACCAAATTATACTGAATTGGAAATGAAAACATTAAAAAACACGTTGTTTATAGAGTTTTACAAAAAGAGGATATTCTACAAATCTAAAACAAAAAGCAAATCTTATAAAATAATCAGACATTCTCATTCAAAAATGAACAAAGTAATTTCACAGCAAATCAGTAAGTTATGGTAAATGTCGATATTCTAACGAACACAAATATGGAGGAACTCTTATAAACTAAACAGATTGACAAAGTCTTATGCAGGAATAAACAAAATACCGGTATAAATAAACAGTAATACAGATAAATATGGAATTACTACAACTACTATCTGATTCACTACCACTTGGAGAATACGCATCAGATAAGTATACATCCCCACATAACTCAGTACTGCCACTCTCTTCATCCGATAGTATTTCATTACACAATTGTTCAAGCCTTTTTTGCTCCGCTTCGTAATGCGACATCACAAATTTGGTATTCAATAATTTATAAACAGTAAAGCAATTTGGACAAGATGACGTACAATACCAACAACGCTTCAATAATAAATGACACGAAACAGTGCTCAACGCGCGACATGATGCAAGTCTTGACTTGCAAAAAACGCGACGCGACTTATGTGCCACGCGACCCGACTGGTCTGTGGGCCACGCGACATACAATTAGTACCTCAGAAAAAAAAAATCAAAAAAGGGGAAAAATCATAGGATTTGAGAAAAAAGTCAAGTCAAAATATTAAACCGAAACTTAAAACAAGCTAATTTGACAATAATAACAGTTTGGCCCAGTGGACTGGATTTTCAGATTCTACTGTGGCGCTTAACGTGTCAATGTGACATTTCAATATTCGCCATCTAACAGACTAGATAAAGCTAGCCGATGCTACGTGCTATTGAGCCTGACGATTGACTTTTATTTAAATAAACAATATATACATAATATACAATAAATAGTGAACATCTGGTACTAGTACCAAAATGGAAGAGATTAGCATAACATCTCGCACATCGCTGCTAAAGCGAGATCTGCACACCGCATTTGCCGACACGAAGGGGTTAGTAACGGAGTACAATGTAATATGCTAATCTCTTCCATTTTGGTACCCGAGTACAGCAAAAATAGCCAATTCTCAAGAACTCTTTTTCTTGTTCAAACGGTTCTCTTGTGCCTTCAAGATCACATCGGGATCGCGGATTGGCATATTTCTGCTTTTTCTGGGATCGACCAGTTCTGGGAGCAAGCAGTTCATGTAGAAGAATTTCAATTTCTCTTCCATTTCATTTTTCCCGAAAACGTCATCCTTTCGAATGACGTCTATTTTCAAACCATACGGGGTCCAAACACCAAGCACACAGTACTCTCTTTGTGCAACGTGTAGCTGCCCTTGAATTTGGTAATACCACTTATGTTTTTTATTTATTTCATCGTTTATCCAAAACGTAATTTTTTTGTTCAGAATGCCCTCTTCAGGGGTCATTTCTCTAGCCGACCATGGACATTTAATTTCTAGCAGACCTTTTACGCCTATCAAACCATCTGGCGATGCTGCCAGAAATGGATGGGTCCTATCAATAAACAACCCGCAAGATTGTACTTCTGATTGCGAATATGATTTCTCTATTTCTGATTTTGCCACGCTTTCATGCTTTTTTCCATAGTCACATGCATTGCTAAAGAATTCGGTTGGGTATATTATGGCGTTTACTAGAGCTCTGTAACTTGTTGTATCTCTTCTTCTACAAACCTCACCAAACCGAGACGCAGTCAACCTCATTCTTCGACGAAGACGCCACAAATTGCAATCCTGAGATTTTGTGGCTTGCTCGATCTGGGAAATTTTGGAGTCGGTTTTTGCAAGTTTTTTCAAGAATTCTACCTTGGCAGCCTCTATATCTTCGTTGCTCATGTCAGGCTTCTCACAGAATTCCCCATAGGATGCGTTCTCTTTAGTATCACTATCTCTGATTTTAATTTTCCTTGGTTTCAGCTTCCTTTTCAGATTTTTGTGCGCTCTCCTTTCTTCAACTTTAGCAATCAAAGAGGTTGGACTGAAACTAGGGAGTAGCCGCTTTTGGATCACACAAACAGGTCGCTGTGTATTGTGGCTCACTACGGCTGCAGCACATCTTCCTTGGTAGGATCTCTTCTTGCAATAATTAATCCGTTTACCCCCAATGAATTTAGCTATGATTGAGTTAAACTGCTCTACAATACTATTATCGACGTCATGAAGTAAACTTACTGCATTTTTAATCAGAATTGCCAGAAATGATATCAGCCTCTGGTGCAAATCTAAAAAAAAAAGGGTATACACACCTGAATTTGAAGATCCATGCCATCTGTCTCTGTTAGAGAATGCATATGCGAAACCTTGCTGTCATTTTTAAGCTAAAATAACATATAAAATATAGTTATAATAGTAACTACGTATAGTCTAATTTATTGGCAAAATGAATGCTAAAATTCATAATTGTTTTGGTACCTACTTTTCTATCTGGAAAACGTTTTTTTTTCCTGTGCGTATTTAAATGCGGCTTCTTCGAGACGCCACGTTTATTTCTCTTATTGTTCATTTTTGATACCTTGATAAGAAAGACACTCAACAATAACAGCACAACAATAACAACACAACAATAACAACACGATAATACAACAATACAATAACGGTAATAAAAGTAATAAGGGCTGAGTATACTATGCGCCAAAATAGGGAAACAGTCGTACGCTAGATCGTATATCCAAATCAAATCCGACTCTGTGCAATATGCAAATTCAACCAGGCACGCGAACAGCACACCTCTGCGTATTACTATCCTTTTCTAACGTAGAGCGCTTGCCTTGTCACAACGCCGTCCTACTAGCGTTTCCCTATCACCCCCCCGATTCCCCTCAGAAACTCTGCTTGACTGTGAGAGCGCCGTTAACGCCTGTTTCAGTGGCCCAAAGATGTGAAAATCGCAAGGCGATATATTGGGACAATAGGGTGGATGCTCCTGCATTTCTTTTGTTGCAGATTTTCTTTCACTACTGTGGTAACATAAGGCCGAGCATTATCGTACAGAAGAATGACACCATGTGAGTGCTTCCCTGGACGTTTTCGTCTTATTGCTTGATGGAGATTGTTCAAACTTTCATTATACAGGTTTGCGTTGATATGGTTCTTTAAACTCTATGAGCAAGAGTCCTTCATGGTCGAAAAAAAATGTTAACATGACCTTGCTCCAGAAAGTTAAACTATAACCTTCTTTGGCGTTGGAAAATTTGCGTGGTTCCATTACATCGATAATAGCTTACTAGATGGTTCAAAACAATGACACCAAGATTCGTCGCCAGCAGTTATTGACGAAAGAAAGTCATTACCGTTTTGCTTGAATTCCGTGAGATGTTGCAAATGTAAGTCCATTCGCAAGCTTTTTTCGTTCTCTGACAAAAATCGAGAAACCCATTGCGCACAAACTTTGCTACAACTCAATTTGTGTACGATACTATGGACAGATCCTATACGCACACCAACATTTTCTGAAATTGATCTGATTGAAATTTGACGATTTTCTCGAAGCATGCCTTCTACACATGCCACATTTCTGTCTGTTGATGCAGTACTCAATGCACCTGGTCGCGGTTCATCATTCATCTCCTCTCTTCCACTCTTAAATTTTCGACAACATTCCTTGACATATATGCATTCCAATACACTGCTTGCATTCGCGTATGAATTTGCATTGGTTGCAAACCTTCAGCACACAAAAATTGAATGACCACACGCTATTTATATTTTAGGTCACAATACTCAAAATCGCTGTCAATACAAATGACAGGAACTAATCAGTGTGACGCTTACAAATACAACTAACATTGCAAAATGTGACTTAAGTGATTAGAATTGTTTCCAAGGCTAACGTGACCAAAGATGAGTTTCAGTTGAACAAGCCTCGTACCAGAGAATTGTCAAAAAAATCAACCTCAGACATTGATGCCTATAATACTAATGGTGATTTTAGATGGAAGTCCGTTTTTTTTATTCAAATGTGGATTAGGTACTTTATTGCCCCAAGTCCGAAAGATCAAATATTTGCAGGTGATTTGAATTTAACACCTGAGTACCGAAGAGAATACGTAGATTACCATAGTCCTGAGAGACCTAGACCTATTGTGCCCCGGAACAATCTGAAAACCAGCGGTTTATTTGACAGTAGTATCCCAGAAGAAAAATTCACAACAAAATTGCAGCCACTAATACCATTTTTAAGGGAACCTTGTGATAGTCGAGGTGGAAGCAGACCTACCAGTGCGGCAGGCTCAAGACGTGGATCACTCAAAGAAGACAGACTTATTCCTACGTATGTTAGTAAAAAGTTATAATTTGATGCTATGGTCCTACCTGTTGTACATATGTTTGTAGAGGAATGCTTAGTTTAGAAAACGTATGATATGTCAAGGTTGATTCTCACTATACATTCCGTTTCCATTCCATATCAGTTTCGTAAACGTTCAGTACAATTTGATTGTATGCACAGTATACCTTACGGATAATGTGCATACACACGCAATAGCATGCTTTAAACGAAGGCGAATATTTAATTTCAATAATTTACGGAACGGTTACGGAATGGAAACGGAATGTATAGTGAGAATCAACCAAATATATTAAAGAATACAAATTAGGCAGACTGTATGTACTGTATTGGGCATTGGAATAAGGTGACAAGTACGTCTAGACATTGGTTCAAAATTCTTCTACTGGTACTTATTTTCGTAATTTAAATGTAGTACCTAGATTTTTTAAAAAAATGGCAATCAGATATGGTGTACTCAGCTCGTGGCATCCACACAGAAAATTACTTGTTATAGTGATGTTTGAGAATTTCTTGAGACAACCTTTTACCAACTCTTTTGTGTAGAGTTTTCAGGGTATTTCATGGTAATTTTTATATCAAACTGACGATTATATTTCTGTTTCACTAATTTATAATTAACAGTTTTCGCGAGTGCTTTTACTTCTCACGCTGCTGGCAAGGAAAAATTGTATTATATATAATTAATATAATGTAAAATAATCATTTTTTGGATGTTACATCATGACAAACTATGTCACTCATTTCCGTCGATGATCTGTCCGATCGCTAATACCTGACCGAACTATAACTTGAAAGTATATGTTGGATTTTGATGAAATTTTTAAACAAGTATACTATTATGCCCAAAACGAAACAGCTTTGAATTTCTGAAAATTGTTCAAGTAGCGGCAAAGATAGGAGCGAAAAACAAAAAAATAAAAATCGCTCAAACTTCATTTTTTGATGGGTTACCAAGTGACCTCTGCGAATTGTCGCAAATATTTGGCGGGTGTATATTTATATATTTCTATCCCAGGTAATTCTATGCGCCGATTATTCATGTTTCACAAATATTTATCAACACCTGTAAATCGCTGCTGATGCGCTGGTGATTTGGCATCTGTGTGGCTTACTCATCGCCTTTCCGATATTAACGTTGCCGTTGCTTGTCAAATTTGTGGGAACTGAAGACGAACGGTCAACAGCGCGAAGTTAAGCAACTTCTTTCATATTTTGGATAAGTCTCTTTTGCTGGAAATTACTGATTGGCCTATTTGACTAACTTCTCTTCAATTAATATGTGGTTTTTTTGGTTGACTTTTTTTCTAAAAGGAACTAACTTATGCTGAATATTTTATCAACTGATGATCGCGTTGCACTTGTCGCTATTTTTTACCAAAGTTCATCGTAACATAATTAATTCTCAAGTTGATTCTACATTTTAGGCACAACCACAACCTAATCTGATCGTAACCTCAGCAAGTGAAAGTGACTTGGTACATGCCAAATCAGAATATACGCACAGTGTCTATTTACGACCTGACACATACAGGGATACCAGCCGACCAAAAAGTAGGAGAGGGTCATATAGCTATAAGCAACCAGAATTTGGTGATCAGTACGTGGGTGTTCCAAGAACCAGGATCTGGAAGCCACAAGATCATTTATCCACCCCTGGAAAGGTACTAGACTTCGTCATGCTGCACATCTCAGATCTAAGGCATTGGTACATGTAATACTTGCTAAGAACTGGTATGGTATTTTACCATCTTCCTAACATTTGCAGCAGACAAACGCATTTCCTGTTTCCATGAAGGAGAGGGGTGGGTCCAATCTGAGGAAGCGTGTGAGAATCCCAACCAGAACATTGAGCGAGTCTATTGATTTTTATTCAGTAGCTATAGCGTTCAACGTTTGTTTAGGCCTGCTATGAATTTCGTGGCCTATCTACTATACAGTCATTTCTGCTTAACCATGCCGCAAAACTTTTTAGAAACTGTTATTTAATGCCTATTATATAGGCCGACAAGATTTTTCTCAGAAACCAGAGTATACTGTTCTGAAGGTTTTTGATTTGCTGAAATCGAATTTGTGGTCCAAATATCTAAACTGGTTTTAATTTTCGAGATATCCTAACCTAAAAGTGCAAAATAGCGATTTTTGATTTTATTTGAGGATATGCACGACTTATTTTTTTTTTTTTCAAAAAACCGTAGACATCATCTTTAAGCATCTAGATCAGAAAAATTAAAATTTCAAAAATTGCCGTATCTGAGCAAAAGAAAAAGGTATTTAAGCAAACTCAACGTCGTTTGAAAGAGCAAGTCTTTACTTTGAAACGATATCTGCGGTTTTAAAAAAAATCGGCATGCTACATAACTATTTTTGCACTTTTAGGCTAGGATATCTCAGAAACTAGAGACAATTGAGAGATTTAGCGCATCAAAAACTTTCTGGAAAGTACATTGTGGTTTTGGGTAAGAAGGTCGTCTCACTTTTGTTGGAATGTGTTATCTAATCAGTAAAAATAGTAATGATAAGCGGCTCTCTGTGTAAACACAATTAATCTGCATGATAACACACAATTCTGCAGATGCTAAAGTCAAAAGAAAGGGTCCGAATTCTGAGAAATGTCAACAGCGCTTAAAAAATACGAACCCCGGATGTTTTTCCACCAGTGACGCTTCTTCTCTTTGTCTGTATTCTTTGACTTTGAAGGGCTATGATGCAGTCCGATGTGAATATATCTATATAGTCATGGAAAACACCTTTTTCGTAAGTTTAACATGCGCTTATACTTTTTAGATGGATCCTGTCAAACCACTGTACTCTCCACGTAAACACGTGAGAAAAAAAGAACCTGTAAGGAAAGACTCGGACGATTTTCTGTTACAAGAAAACTTTGAATGTCAACCAGAGTACAGGAAGGCATATAGGGACATTTTGATCAGAGAAAAGCCCCCTTTGGATCAAAGGATGAGAGCTGTACAAAAAACTGATAAAGCAGAAAAATCCCAGTCGTCGGATGAAAGGTAAGGGACCGTTTTCAACGACAGCAACATCTCAGTTGCGCTAGGTTTTCATACTGAAGGTATTAGTCATCTATTCTCTATCGTACACATATTTTTATATCTATGTACATACAGCAAAATAGAAACCTACTATTGATTCCTTGGCCTATTTTTGTTCTCCCGTACCTTATTCAGCATAATTCGCCTCACTTGGTCGAATATCAACCCAGCTCACTGCCTTTCGCCGAGCGACGGTTCCAACTGTGTCTGGTAGTCTTCAGGTAGCTATCAAAGCAACCATGTCCTGTAATTTACTTTGCAGTATAGTGATCTATCCGCACTGCTTCCATATCAATCGAAGTTTTAATATACGGGATCAGCCTTCTAGTCCATGCACCATGGCCAGTTGCATCCCATCTCCTCTAGCATATGACGATGCCCTCTTTCCTCACGGCCTTGTTATATATAGGGGCTCCGTACAGCATAATCGAGTTTACCACCGCGCCAAAATCCTGCGCCTTCACTAGTGGGGCCTCCGTCAGATGGCATTAGCCATATCAGAGCTGCAACGACGTTACCTTGTCAGTAGTGCGCCTTATATGTTCAATCATCCTCAGGTCTTTGTCAAGCCACACACCCAGATACTTTATTGCATTTTGGCTCCGAATATTTAAGTTATCGACCTCAACAGCTGATAAAGTTAGCTTCTATCTGCCAGAAAGTATAACTACTTCTTAGAAACTAATTTCGAACCAGTTTCTTCCATCCATATGGTAATTCTCGTGATTCCGTATGCAAAGAGTCCTTCAAGTCTCCTTGCTCTCGCACATGTTGTCAAAAAAAAGTGAGCTTCCTAGTGTACTATCGCCAAATTGAAAAAAATTGGCAATATTTTCAAGGAACGCCTTATAGTTGCTCGAATATGATATCTAAGGAAAAGTCTCAAAATGTTTTTTTTATAAATTACAATCTACTTCTTTTTTTAAATGTATCGAATACGGAAATTTATACTGTATACTGAAATTGACATAGTATATGGACCATGGTTTTTTCCTAATGGAAATTGAATTGTTTGTTTTTTGGGTAAGTGATAATTCTTGGACATTTATGATAAAATTGAAAAACCCATTGAGACGCTCTCAAAATTTATTGGCTTTTATTGTACATAGAAAGATTTCATGCTTCGGCTTATATGGTGTTACTTTGAAAAAATACAAGAGTTAAAACAATCGTGTCCGGTCATGATTTTCTAGCCATCCAACTGGCTTTGGGTTACTCCTAGGAAACATTTGCTATGCCAAATTTTTCTAATATAGATTCAATAATACCTAAGACAATTGATTTAAAAAATAAGGCGTTCCAATCTTATATCCGTTAAAAATTAATCTAGTGATTTTCACTATTATACTCATTTCTTTACGGAGAACAGTATTATCTGGCTAACAAGACCAAAATAATAAGTATTACAGACAGATTAATCAGTTTTAGAATATTTGATTACTTATGCATTTTTTAGTTGATTGGGAAACGCGTAAAATCAAGGTTTGGATTTTTCAAAGAAAGACGAATATTGGGAAATATTTTGCCGTTTTTTTATTTCCTTCGAACTCCGGTATAAAATATTTCAAAATTTACAGCAGCATTATCTCTTCTAACTTCCTATCATGTCGCTTGCCAAGATTCAGCAAGTGAGATTACCCAAAGCTAAATACGCCGATAGATGGGCCGACTACCGACATCATGGATTTTCGTCATACAGACATTTAAAAAAATTAATTCAATAATGAGCGCGAATACTACAATACTTTTCTCGTACTGCTAATCGAATTTGAGACTCTTGATAGTGCTTGATTATGGATTGTGACAGAAATTATAATCAGTTAGGAATGTGGAATGTACGAAACGGTAGCCACAGACGCACAGAACGGGAGAACGGGTTGCCAGGGTTTCCAATATCGCTTCTTAAAGTTACAGATAATTGTTTTTGATGTATACATTCATATTATACAAAGACAGCTCAAGTCATTTGGAGGGAGATAATTACCTACCTCTACCTCCCCCCCCCCCACCTCTTGGGACTGCCAATGTCAAATACCAGCGTTATCGTCAAGCAAGTCGAATTTGAAACAACCGTTATAGTTATGGGCTGTATTGGGTGGGGACGCAAAAGCAAAGCAACCAAAAGTCGATGCTTTTGGCTGAAACATTGTCTTAACCAACATAACAGAATGAATCTAATTTTACTAAGATATTTTCATTTTCTAGCAAACCTATAAATGCCGAAACTACCTCACCCACCCATAGACCAAAAACCTCAAAACTGCCTGAAGTCGTGCCTTCAAAAAGACCTCCCATCAAACCTAGGTCAACAGCCAAACGAGAATTGGCCCACTTAGAGCATTGCGCTTTTGGACCTAGAACCACGACCATAAGGCGGTCATTGAGCTCATCTCCTACACGGAGGGATCACTTGACGGCAAGAGGTCACGTGACTATAGACCGGGCCAATAGAAGCAGGTCTCATGGTAGAAGGAAGAAAGAGATAGACGAGAGGGAGGCTACTAGAAGTAGATGGCAGAGAAGGCATGATGTCGAGGAAGATGCTGCTTTTGTTGTGTTGGAAAATAAGTTTGGACATAGAAAAAATATTAAACAGGCTTTGTATAAAGAACAGAAGTGGATGCCGGCTTGGAACTATTCGTCGCATTCATCGTAGTAGAAAAATGTTTTTTAATTACTAACCATAGAAATCACCATTTTGACCTCAATGCCCCACTAAAAAAAAGCATATTTTTTCCTAGGTAGGTGTTATTTGAAATGTTATTCTGCTAACTTGGCTCCGACACTGTTCCTCTTACATATCAACTGCCTCCTTTCCTGTGCGACCAACCAAATCCACAGCTTTGCTACATGCAGAAATTCAGAGCGACAAGCCGATCCCTGCCGGTGAGCTGGAAAAGAGAAGACTAGCGACGGCTCTCTATGACGCATGACCTCGAGGTTATCACTGCTTGGGGACGCAATAATCTTGTACAATTTAATGCTTCCAAAATACAGTAATGTATCTTGATGAACAAAAATCGTCCTAGCTCTCATCCGCTGTCGATGGATGGCCGAGTTCTGCCAAAAAGCGATTCATTTCGGCTGGTCGGAGTCCAAATGACGGAAGACTTGATCTGGCACGAAAATCGTCCTAGCTCTCATCCGCTGTCGATGGATGGCCGAGTTCTGCCAAAAAGCGGTTCATTTCGGCTGGTCGGAGTCCAAATGACGGAAGACTTGATCTGGCACGAACACATTTCGTCAATAGCGGCAGCTGCTGGTAAAAAGGCTATTTGTTTAGGGCTAAGGCGTACTTTTCTTCGCATGGCCTACTCACTCTATACAAGGCCAAGATAAGACCTAGCCTAGAGTATTGCTCACACGTTTGGGGTGCTGCCGCCCCGACTACATTATTTATGCTTGATGCTGTCCAGAGGAGGGCTGTCCGACTGATCGTTGACTCTTCTCTAGCGGACAGTCCTGGGACCCTCTTGCACCGGCGGGCCTTAAGAGGCAGATTGCCATCATTATTGGCTAAGTATGAACACTTTTGAATCCTGAGGCGCTTATATGTTTACATTGCATTGTTTGTCTCCAAAATTGCGTAGTTTCAGTACATACTTTTGACACTTTTCACTACCATTTCCTACCAAGATGACAATGTTCTATCAACATAATAATAATACTTACTGGTGGAAAGATATACCTTGATAAGGCTTGTAACGCTATTTTGCAAGTACCATGCCCTGGAATTGTCTGACACCACAATTATCAGCAAACACTGGCACTTTCAAAAAATTACACTAAAATACGAATTTAATGACAGAACTATCAAAACATTAAATTATGTCAAGTCCACTTTCGTCCTGACTAGACAGATTTTGTAGATAGAAAATCGTAGACTTGCTTCTTCTACTACGTTGAAGGATCCAGTCAGGAATTACTTTGTCTCTTAATTGTCATAGTGTAGTGAGGATCAATTTGCACTTGACAAGTGATTTTTTTGACACTTCTGTCATTAAATTCTTATTTTTAGTGTTTTTTTTAAAATGCGAGTGTTTGTGGATAATTGTGGTGTTTGATGATTTCAGGACACTGTAATTCTTAGATAATTTACAAAGAGCTGCACAAAACTAATAAAGCTAGATGCTTCCACCTGTAAGTATTATGTTGTTACAATACTACACTTTGGTACGCATTGGTAGATAAATGAGTCAAAAGTGCATAAGACAACACAATTTTGGCGACAACAATAAAATGTTAACATATAGGCTTGCCTCCTAATGTATTCGACTTCCTAGTCTGAATTCGTTATGTAAAGGTGATTTCTCGGGTTAGTAGTGAAAAAAAAAATGCTTTCTTGTTTTTTTATAAGATAGAATTTTAGATGGTCGATATATTACTTTGGCAAAAAAAAACGTACTGTGAATTCGGATAGCATTTTAGATGCTGTTCTTACTTAGACGAAAAAAAAGTGTGGATGAATGTATGTGTTATACGTTGCTTAAATGTTGTAAATGTTATTTTTTTTATTATATTTAACATTGTTTTATATATATTATACTTTTTAGCATGAATATAAAATATTTCAAAACACCTTTTGGATCCTAAAATAATTTTTAAATATTTTACAATATTTTAGTTTCTTAAGTACCCCGAATACAAGAGTATGTCCACTGATACGAATAATTGATAAGAGCCGTGCTTGCTGCATTTCATAAAGGTGGGTAGCGCACAAGCATACCATTTATAGATAGGCGGGAGCTAAGAAAACTCGAAAATGCGATAAAACCGTGTTTAATGGTTAAAGAAAATAATACTTATCACACCTCAAAATTTACAGAAAAATAGGAAAACATCTGGAATGTATAATAAATAAAATAGTATAACTATTAATTTGCCACAAAATATAAGTAATCATACCAAAATCTGTAAGTACCACTCCTATTAGATTATTTCTTCTTCTTTCAAAGTATTTCTCAAATTTTATATCTGACATTAAAATTTAATGATTACTACATTTTCAAAATTATGGCCACTACCAAAATACACTGTTATGATATACATACTATGTTATAAAAAATAAATAACAAAAAGTGTTTTGAGAGTATGAGGTTGAGAATATGCGAATCAAAATAGTAAAATAAAATTATAAAACTTATCAGCTAATATAATCACATAAGAAAAAACAAAGATTTACAAAACTAAAAAATAAACATGTTAAAATAACTATTACCTAATTTATATAATACTGATATTAGTGTATCGAAGATGTGATATAATTGCTGGGCCCTAGGACACTAAAACAGTTATGAGTAGATACATTAATATAACGAAATTAAAATTTATTCATATAATTGTACTTTATCCCTTCAAAAAAATAATTATGTTCGCACAAAAAAACTCTCTAGTTCTGTGTTAAACTACCGTAAAATCTTACTTCAAAAAAATTGCAAACTTTAATTATTCATCTGCCATCAAACCGCATTTTTTTAAATTTTAAAAAAGGGAACACGGATCCATCAAACAGAAGACGAGTGATTGTCTCGTCAAGCTCAGAGGCCAACGTTGGAAAAAAATTTGCAGCTACTACTTTGACTTGGATTTCTGTCTAGTAGGATCCCTTTTAATAAATCTGCATGTTGCTAGGCCCAAAATTGCAATGTGCCATTTTCGAACCAGAAGAGCAATATGAAAAATCTAGAATTTTAATTTCGGTAACGTTCCTATTTATTCTTCAAACAGTCAATAAAATTGCAAAGAAATTCAGGAGGTATTGTTATTGTAAACCATTGTTTTTAAATTTGTTAAGCGTACGCTCACGCAGAATATACAACAAGCCCGCTTATTAACAATTAAGAAACAAAAGTATACAAAGACAAGACCTCATAATACGCATTGGAATTTTGTTAATGGGTGTATGGAGTATATTTAGAAACAATGAAGCATTAACATTTTCGTTTTCCCATATTGTTTTTCGATGGTAAAAATGGCATATCTTACGCTTTTCCAAATATATAATCCCATATCACCTTTAGAGGAACGTTCATAAGGGCTTTTTTGTTCAGAATGCTTCAAAAAACCTAAAAATTTATTGCCCGGAACCAAAAAAATTATAAAAGGTACATCGCAGAGATCATAGAGGGAGAAAATTTGGTTGAATAGTGTAGTTTTCTGTAAAAAAATTATCACTTATGGAAGCCATCCGACCAAAGTACCCGATGGTATTGTAACCTCTTGGGCAAATTGTACCTTGCTATTTACAATACTCAATCAGACTATTGTTCTGTACCAGTTGGTGCAGTTTATGTACCGGTACTGTTCTAAACTCCATCGGTTCTAGTTTTGCTTTCTCGAAGAGTGGATGTCTTTTGTAATCCAGCGCCTCGCACTCACATAAGACATGTAAGACTGACTCGGTTCCTTTTCTGCATTGTCTGCAGTTGAGGTCTACACCATACAGCCCTATTTTGCACAGGTGTTCTTTTAGTCCATTATGTTCTAACAGAAGCACTGTAACTACACGGAGCTCGTTTCTACCCATTGAGAGCAGTTCCGCACCGTATTTGTGGATGGTCTCGAAATAAATTTTCGATGCCTGTCTTGCTGCGGCTTAGTTGTCGTCATTTTCTTTAGATGGCGCTGTCACAGGTCGTATCAGGAAGTAATTAAAAGAGTATCTGTAGTGTATGCTGACAATGTTACTGTAGGCTTGTACGCGAATAAATTTTACAGGCTGTTCGTTTGTAGTAAAATGATGATTTAAATTAGTAAAAAGTGTCGATAGCCAAAGTTACCATTTCTGAAACAAAAATGCGATTTGATAAAGTTTTTTTTTGATATTGAGATTTTACAATAAAAAATCCAGTAGTAAATGTCTCTCCCACTCTTCTCACATGACAAGTGGGATATTTAAGAAGCAAATTAAATTTTAGCCAAATTTTAGGGTCAGAAAACCACATCTTCACACATTGGGATTCTTCAACTTCTGATGAAAATACTATCGATTACTAACACAGGCATAGCAATAATTGGGATTATGGAAGTCATAGAGGCAAATGGGGTGATGACAGAAAAGTAAAAACAATACACCTATATGTTTGAATGACAGAATTGAAAAAGCTATTAGTGACTTTTATACTAAAGGTAAAAACACTAAAAATGTTTGGCCATATTTTTCAATTGACATCTCCAACGTTTGCAATATAAAAACATTTAGTATCATCATAGAACTACTGGCAGGGCAAGTTAAAATTGATATCGAAAACAGAAATACAAGGGTCTCCAGGGTACACCATTTTGCACATACTAGAAAAACGTTTCAAACAAAAGTTGTAAGGTTTCGAGGAGGTAAAATGATGGCGACCTTGGCAATGACCTTCAACGTCAAGTAAATATTTTCTAATGGAACCCCCCTTTTTCACATCGGGACTGGAAAGAGAAGGAAATCTTTCTTCTGAATATTACCTTGGCTATGACCTGCGCAATGGCCTTTCAGGCCATTTTGGACGTAAAATTTCCTGCTTATTCTATTTCCAGTGTAAAATTGAGACGTTTGCTATGGAAATTTAGAATTGACCCTGAATGTCATGGTCAAGGTCACATTTGGGCGGTCTCACAAACTTCACAACTGTGATGTCGAATATATTTGCTAGAACAAATTGTTTTCAGCGACTTGATTAGACAATGAAATGGCCTTGAAGAAAATCACTAAGTTCATATTCAGACGTAAAATGCCCCCCTCTTCTAAATTCTGATGTAAAAATGGGGGTTCTACATAAAAATATTCACTTGACCTTGAACTGACCTTGAAGGACAGCGTCAAGGTCATCATCATTTTCCCCATGAAACCCTAAAAATTTTGCTTGAATCTTTTTTAGGATGCGTAATTTACGGAATATTAAATGAAATTAAAATGGGACACCCTGTATAATTGACACTAATATACTGTATGACATAAGGGATAGAATTGCTATCATTAAAATGTATGACTACTAAAAACCATATATCTATACATTGTACTATTACAATTAAAATTAAACTTTCTTGATAAAATTTATATTTGAACAAAACTTTATCAATTAATTTGGAATAAATTATTTCAAGACTTGATAACTTACAATATGCTCTTCTAGTAACACTCGATGCTTTATAGCTTTTTTGCATTACAAAAACATTCAGTAACTTAATTAGTCCTTGGAATGTCTCTGTCTCTGCAAATTTTCCATTGCACTAAGATGAATATTTAAAATTCCTAAAAAGGACTATTAAGTTCAAAAAAATATGACAAAGAGAGAAAAGAGTTATTAATTTTACAAAAAATTAATCTTAAGAGTAAAATAAGGGTTGTATCTATAACAACGCAGAATTTGAATTGCGCGCCATTTGACAGTCAGTGTCAATCGCTGCGGCTATCAAACATACGAAGAGAGTCGCTCAATCTTCTAGTTGGGAGCAGGTTTTAATGCTGATTTTATTACATTACAATATATTTCCGTGTTCTCTTTGTCACATATATTTGGATCATATAAACCCAGGAACTTTTTTGCTCATAAATAGATTACTAAGACACATCAAATCCAAACAAATTCAATTCTTCTACAAATACCCGCAATTATTATATCGAGCTGCGACTACGAATTCTTCGAAAACACGATTGAAGTTTACCTAGATCAAAATTTCTAAGATCGTTTTAAACTTACAATTACCTAATTTGAAGCTCTTGAGTAGTACAGTGGAAAAGACAATTTTAAATAAAGACGAACTCAAAGATTTCATGTGTTACCCCCTGCAATAGTTTAGGAGGCAGTATTTTGAAATTTGTCAAAGAGTATTCATAATTTCCAAAGATACTCTATCTTGGATTTGGTTTAGCCCTAACCAGTTTTAACCATTTAAAAGTTCAAAAATATTGATGCTGGAATCAGATAGACATTGGCTGAAAAGGGTTTCCCTAATCTGTGTTAAAAAGGGATCACAATCATAATTTTTCAGAAAATTTAACAGGTATTGTGTTTGTTAGTTGAAGATTGTAATCATTCCAATTTTCGAGTAATTTTTTTCTTAAAACCGCTTTTCTACTGGAACAAAAAGACAACGAGCAGTCCTCTAGGGCAGTCTATTTTTTGATACGACGTATGAGCTTCCTGAACGAAGCAGTCCATTTAGTTCGTGTCAATTTGACACAGTCATTGTCATCCAAAACGGCCTGCGGACAGAATTTTGTCTCCCTTGGTGTTGCAGCACTGCTGCCACCATTGCTTTTGAACTCTGCACCCATGTCGGAGGAGAAGCCTGAATCGCTGCCAAAACCTACAATAAAAAAAGTCTGCCACAGAACTTCCAAAGCATTGGTGCAAATCTATTTAAAACTTTGACCACCAGAAAATTCGAAATACCAGGTTACTCACTGATATCGTACACCCATTCAAGAAGTGTGTAGAGGTACTTTTTAGAAATAAATAAAAAATATGAACAAGTATTTGACTGGTCGGGTGACCACTGGCAGGTGGAGTTTCGAGCATAGCAACGCTAGATGTCGGTAACGCAGGGAAGACAATTTTAGATGGCAACGTGATTAAATGGTTGGGGAACATGTTCTAATTATATGGGCGGGTTGGACTGACTTAATTTACGATGTTGTACATGTTCGTAGCTAACCTGTCTGGATGTACGAAGTTCGTCAGTGTTAGGACAAGGGGCCGAAGCCTGGAGGGCCTGTCTAACAGATTCATTGCGCGGCGGCATCAAGAGGAGAACTTTGAGGAGCAGAACCCGTTGCCACAGCGGTAGAAGAGCCAGATCGCGGACTAACCATCTTGAGACTGTCCATTAAAGGAGACTCAACGATCAGTCGAACAGTTCTCCTTTGAACAGCATCAGTGTAGTCGATGCCGCAGCCCCCCAAACATGTAAGCAGTACTCGAGGCTAGGTTTTATGTGGGCATTGTACAGAGTAAGGACGTTATATTGAGAAAAGTACTTTTCAACCCTAAACAAATAATTCAGATTTTCCCAGCAGCTGTTGTGATTGACGAGATATGTTTGTGCCAAATCAATTTCTCGATGATCTCCGATCATCCAGAATGAATGAATTTTTGGTAGAACTCGGCCATCCAAACCGGAAGGTACAGTACTGCGTTTTAGAAGCATTAAATTATATCAAATTGTTTCGTTTCCAAACATTGATAACTTTCGGATCTCTTCTCAGAGAGAAAGTCGTTGCAAGTATTCTTCTTTTCAGCTCATCGGCGGTCGCTCGACATCAACAAGGCTTCTGGTCCGGACTCGATTCCTGCCATTGTACTAAAGATAGGTGTACAGCGGAGCTTGCTCCACTTCTTTTAGGTCTCTTCCAGATATCTTATGAATCTGATACCTTCCCAGAAAACTGGAAAAAGGATCTAATACCGACCCTTACAACTACAAGGCCTATACCTTCTGATTTCTGTTATAAGTAAGGTGATGGAAGGGTAGAGAAATCACGATCTTCTGGACTACCACGAACGTCACGGCTTGATTAGCGACAGGCAGTATGGTTTCCGGTGTACAATCGATCCACAGGGGACCTCCTAGCTTACGTCACGCAATTGTGAAGTAAACTCAACCAGTCTTATGGTGAGGCTCATGTCGTTTCTCTTGATATTACAAAAGCGTTCCATCCTATGGCCTTCCAGAAAAGCTTTGCAGATGGGTGGCTGAATTTCCCTCTGGCCGCAGGTATCTGTCGTAATTGTCGGGTTCTCCTCTTCATTCCACAACATCAACGCGGGTGTTCCTCAGGGATCGGTCATGGCTCCGACACTGTTCCTCTTACATATCAACGACCTCCTTTCCTGCATGATCAACCCAATCTCTCTGACGAGAGACTTGGAAGTTATCACTGCTTGGGGACGCAACAATCTTTCAGCTTTCAAAACACAGTACTGTACCTTGACAAACTAAAAGCGTCCTAGCGCTCATCTGGTTTCGATGGATGGCCGAGTTCTGCCATTTTTCTGCTACGCTATTTATTTAGGCCCAAGAAGTACTTTTCTCCGCATGACCTTCTCACTATATACAAGCCCCAGATAAGGGCTAGCCTCGAGGATTGCGCACACGTTTGGGGGTGCTGCCGCCCAACTACATTATTTATGCTCGATGCTGTCCTGCCTCCCATCCTAACCTTGTCGAAGTTCGTACATACAGAACTGGCCGATACGACAGCTCCTTTGTCCCGAGGGTGTCGAGATTGTGGAACAATCTACAAGAGGAAGCTTTTCCCTGTCGTACTAACCTTAGACAGTTCAAAAATCGGTTTAACAAAATTTCTTTGGCATTCTGAATGCCTCCATGTAGAGTGCTGTCATCAGCAAAGCTGTGGATCGGATTGATCGTACATGAGAGGACTATGTAGTAGAAATAATGTTGGAGCCAGGATTGATCATAGGGAACACCCGCGTTGATACTGTGGGATGAATAGAAGAACCCGCCAATTACGACAGATATCTTGTGGCCAGAGAGGAAGTTAGCCATAGGGTGGAAGTTTGCATAAGAGAGCAGCATGCCACAGCTGATGGAAAGCTTTCGAGGTGTCAAGAGCAACATGTGTCTCACCAGATGACTGGATAAGTTTACTCCACAGTACAGTGACATAAGATAGGTCCTCCGTTATTCGCTAGTGCCGAAAACCATAATGCATATCGCTAATCAAGCCGTGATGTTCGGGACACTCCAAAAGCTCACGATTTATGTTCTTCCACCTTTCTGGGAAGTGCAGAGTTAATCTACTTGACACCATTTTTTTTCTATTTTAAATAGTACCTCTAAATGGAGCTCCCGCTGTTTAAGCGGTTTCTGCAGGGTTGTCACTTGAATTATTTGACTTCCCTATAAAATTTTAAACCATCCGCAAACAACAAAAATTTGCTGTTTCCAAACTACTGAAATGTCATTTATAGAAATGTAACTGATAAAAATGACCTGAGACACATCAGAGATAGCACTGATACGGTGAGATCTGACACATGTCGAAATACAGGGTGACCCAACAAAAATCGCAAACTGAAAAAAATATCAAAAATTTGTAATTTGGTAACCTTGATATTTACCAGCACAGCTTAAATAAAAATCAGCTATCATACTCTCCTGAAAGTGTCAAAAACGCCATTTAGGCGGAGAAAATCGCATGTGAAAGGGGTTCCAGTATGATCTGGTGTAGTTTGTGTGAACCAATATTAAAAAGGAATATGTTTGTCCAAAAAGAAGCAACGAAGTATTGATGACTATTTATGTATGAAAAAGTTTTAAAATAAATTCGTATTGGTGAAAGTATTTTCAATAAACAGAATATATTGACTTTTTAGCCATGCATTTTTTGCTGCTACGATATTCTCAATTCATTCCATTTTCAATTCAAAACTGTTGAAATACCGCAATCAAACCTGACTCTTCTGAAGACTCCTTACCTAGGATACTTCTACATACACGGCCAGTTTTTAAGGTATAAGCGGTCGGTAGTTTCGAAATTTTAAATACTTAGAAAAGTTAGTTATAAAAAAGGTAGGCAACTATACGCTCCTTATTTAGAAAATATGCCGCGCTCGACAAGGTGATTCATAATTACATGATAACACATACATTTTTTAAATGAAGTTATTTAGAATAAGTGAAGAATAAAAAAGTATTAGTGCTAAATGGTTTAGTTTTACTAATGAACAATGTTTCTTAAATCTCTCATTTAAATGTCCATATGATCTCGATTTTTCTGCGACAAAGACGCCGAAATTCTTGTGATTCATTGAAAGTTGTATTTGTCTGGTGTTTTTAGCACTGCTTACACTGAAAATGCAATGGATTGATTATATCGCAGCAGCGTAGAATACATAGCAAAAGTAAATATCTTTCCGTTTATTGTAAATACTTGCATTGCAAATTTATTTTCAAGCTTTTTCATAACTAAATAATCATCCGTTGCTTCTTTTTGGACAAACATACTCCTTTTTATTGATTCCTACAAACTACACTAGATCATATCGAAATATCATTTTAAGAATATATGGAGTGCTGGCATTCTACAACAACACCGCCTGCTGCTGAACACTAAAGGCCGTATCGTCAGTCGTTCCTACAATATTCTAGGACGCCTTTATGACCTACTCGATTTTCATATTTTTCTACTGTTCCGTTTCAGTGAGTTATTTTGAGGTTATATTACAAATATCTATTTGAGTCAAATTGCTCATGCTTTTGATTTATATTATCATCTGTTATATGTGTATAGCCTGAAATTTCCTACAATTCAAAAAGAAAACATAGAATCACAATAGGAGAACGCTGACGCTGACATGGAAGAGTAGAAATCTAGAAATACCCTAGCCTTTCTGAATGAGAGAGGAGACTATGAAAATCTAGGAACCTATTAAGGCGTCCTACAGTTGTTGCACTATAGGCATTCACATGCTATTTTCTCCGCCAAAATGGTGGCCGTTTTTGACACTGACAGGAGAGTTTCATAGCTGATTGTTATCTAAGCTGTGGTATTACTAGTGTATATTTTAAAATTATTTTAATATATACAGGGTGTTCCAAAGCTTCGTATCGTAGCAAATATGTACTTTTTTAAGCAGAACACCCTATATTTTATTACATATTTGATTAGAGCTTCCAAAAACAAGAAGTATGATATCATATAACATATGGTTTCTATAGTCAATTTTTTAGATATTTAGTGAAATGCCTGAAAAAATGACCAACTTTGACGACTCGCAGCTCCGCCTTTTTTGAATATTTTAAAATGAATTTTAGTTCAAAAAATTTTATTATCATGGATTTTAAGCTGATCTGAAAAAAGTGCTAAAATATCTATATTTATATAGGGTATCTCAAAACGCAAAATGTACCTTTTCTCATCAATTTCTACATCATTAAATAGCTTTCCTTGGGAACTTTTTTTCGATATAACGCTTACGCCACTATTTTTCGAAGTTTTCGAGTTATGGCTATAATTCCAACAAAAAATTATTCCAGATTTAGACTTAAAATCAGATCTTCCATGAAAACAATGAAACATTTTTTCATACAAGACTTACCTTAACGCAAGACAGTCATTCATTAATTTGTAAAAAGTTGTATTACATTCCAAGTAGTTCTGTTGATTCTCAGATGTTTGATCTCAGGACTAGTATTTTTTAGTGACAACCACAGATTAGTACCAGAAGACTGAGATGGTAGACGTTAGCAAGTCAATTCTTAACAGAATCAGGCAAAAGTATAATCCGTACCATTTGGCGCTACACCAAGACCTCCATGGGGATGATTTCAACAATCGAGTCACATTCTTCTTCCCTTCCATCTTATTCAGCGACGGGGCAACATTTAAGAGTAATGGTCTCGTGAATCGCCACAATATGCATTATTACGCACAAGTGGACAACCAGAATGTATGGTCAGCAAATGTGTAGCTGGCATCATTGGTGATCAAACTATCATATATATATATATATATATATATATATATATATATATATATATATATATATATATCTTTTACTAGAGAATGTAAATTTAACTACTAGGAGAAATTTGTGGTACCAACATGACGGTACCCCACCACATTACCATCGAGCGGTACTGGAGTATCTAAACCGCTTGCGCCCAAATAGTGGGACAGGGAGAGGCGGACCGATCAATTGGCCAGCAAGATCTAATGATCTGATGCCTCGCAACTTCTTTTCTAGGGCAATGTAAAAGGAGAGGTTTACCAGGAGAAACCTACAACACCCGAGGACATGAAATATCGTATAAGCGAGTCGTCAAATTTAAAAATGAGGTTTTTAAGTGAGAAATATTTTTACTCTATAAATGAATTTTTAAATTTTCCGAATCAGTAAGCGATATGTTTTTATTTTGAGTAAATAGAGTTTTAACAATTAGCTTTTAACCACTACTGTAAGAAAAACACTAGCTAGCTTATTGCCTATAAAATCTAGTCATACTAGTAGCTATGCTACTTTCCTTTTGACATGCCATGTGAACTACTACTACTACTATAAATAGAAAGAAATTTCAACACTTTTTCGACATCAGGTTAAAATCGATGATGATTCATTTTTGTGAACTAATATTTATCTAAATATCGTCAAAAATGACGGAGCTGCGAGCCGTCAAAGCTGGTGATTTTTTCAGACGTATGACCAAATATCTTAACAATTGACAATCCAAACTATATGCTATCCCATATTAAACTTCTTTGTTTTTAGAAACTTTATTCAAATATACAATAAAATACTATACTATTTAAAAAAATATACGTTTGCTATAGCAAGACGTTATGAAACACCCTGTATATATGAAAATAATTTTAAAATATACACTAGTAACATATCAAGGTTGTCACGAAAACAAAATTTTGATATCTTTTCCAGTCTGCACATTAAACTACTTTCCATTTTAGTTGGGACACCCTGTATATCAGAGAGAAAACTTTGCGAACAAAGCCAGCATGCTGTTTACTCAAGGTTGCTAAGAGTAGAAGGGCATGTATTATTGAAATATTTTGTCAACGAAAATGATCCTTCAACTAGATATTTTCAAGTAAATCGATAATATAATTTCACGAATTAATGAGAATTTTGATAAGCAGATCTGGTAAGTTTCCTCTAAAAGTACCACCACTAAATTCTAGAAAATGATCCTGAGGACACATTCTCAAGTTAAGCTTCACTTACCTCTCAAGCTATCCCTATTTGGTTCCTCCTTATCGAAACTGGACACTTCAGAGACGTCATCAGCATAAGAGAAATACAGTTCAGCAAATGGCACATTCAACGATGAACAACCGCTGACTCCTGGTGCTTCATCCTCGGGATGACAGAACCATTCGGAAAGGCTGGCACCTTCCCCGCAACGAATCGGTGAAGGTGGGGGACGAATCATGTTGCGTACTTCGAGGAATGGGGTTTGCAGGCAGCCGAAAAGTTTTCGTCTGAAACACACATTTAAACAAAAAATTAACCCTTTGCGGTCTGCTGGTCTCCTGGGATGACCACTAATTCATACGACCCCTTCCCACTTTAGTTGGCCCAACTATTGAAATCTTAGTATTTTTTTCTATCAAACACAAATAATAAAAATGTAGCAGGGTGTTGTAGCTTTAAAATATTAACAATGAATATTTTGATAATATATAGTAGAAAATACCAACTTTATCACTCCCTAATCAAATTTGCAGCATAAAAATAACACATGTTGCAATTACAGCATATCAACCTATTTTCATTTCAATGCAAAATAAGTCTATCACGCATAGGTGGTTGTGAAAAATAAAAGCCATGACAATTGTTTTTATTAATCACAGCTGTCAGAATACGTTTAAGATAGTTTTGGGTAGTTAAGGTTTTCAAAATGGGTAGAGGAAAGGTTATTAGTGAGAAAATTCGGTTACTGATGATTAAATTTTTTAATTCTGGGAAATCAAACTCAGAAATTGCAACTTTGTTAGACTTATCGCGGTACAGTGTGAGAAATATTGTTAGAAGAAATAACGAAACTGGTTCAGTTAATATTAAGCCACGATATGTGAAAAAAAGTAATATCACAAATGCCGACCGAAGAGCATTAAGAAGGATAATCGTGAAAAACAGGCGTGCCAATTATTTACAATTAAGTGCTCGAGGTCCACAACTCATAGAGAGGCCCACAAACTGGGATTTAGCACTTGCAAGGTAGTAAGTTTTCTTATAAAAAAAGTGAATTAAAATCCCTAAAGTTGCACAACTTGTTTATAGGCCAAAGAAAAGCCACTATTAACTCCACTGCAAAAGAAAAATCGGCTTAGATGGGCTAAAGAACATAGACAATGGACACCTCAAAAATGGTGTGCAATACAATGTAGTGATGAGGCCCGATTCGAAGTTTGTGATAGTGACAGTCGCAGTAGAGTTATTCGCAAAAAAATTAAGCATTCCATGTTGACTGTCTGAAGAGAAAAGTGAAATTTCCAGCATCCATTATGGTCTGGGGCAGTATGTCATCAAAAGGAGTAGGAAAACTTCATTTTATTGATGGAAATGTGGATACAAACAAATATTTGGCAATTTTTGAAGAATCGCTTTTACCAGTAATGGAAGAATGTTTGACATCCGGCCAAGATTTTGTGTTTCAGCAAGATGGTGCAGCGTGCCATACCTCAAAAAGGCGATAAAATGGATGGAAGAAAATAATGTACCACTTTTGAAATGGGTTTCTAGCAGTCCAGATCTGTCACCTATCGAAACTTTGTGGCACGAGATGAAAAAGGTTCTACGACAACATCCTGCTCGTACAATCACCGAACTGAGACAAAAGCTTCAAGCAATATGGGATTGTTTTACACCAAATTTTTGCCAAAACTTGGTTAACATTATGCCCCAAAGAATTTCAGCCGTAATAAAAAATAAAGGTGATGTTACCCAATGGTAATCTTTCAATTGTTGATTTGTTAACTTCGCGCATTTATTCGCACATTGTTTATTTGTTCAGATGTTCTATTAGTTATAGGTCTAAGTGATTTCAAATATGTATGTTTTACGACTTGAGTGTATCTAAAATATTTTTGAGAAAATAAATTATTTTAGAAGTAAATATTTTCGTCATGTTTACTTTATAAACGCATATTTTGGTACAAATCTTGAAGTGGGCCAACTGAAGTGGGAAGTGGCTCGTAGTCGCCATAAAATGAAAACTAACAAAATAGCCCAGCTAGTGGGAACAGCAGATATAGTTGAGAACCAAATTTGGCTTGAATTCAATGTGTACGAAAGAGAAGTGTGTATAAAGAGGTATGTTAGAAAGATATAGAAGCCGGCTGGATAGCGAAGCTCCTCACCGCATTGCCTAGCAACGGTGACGCGGCTATATGCCGCGATGCCAACATGTTACACGAGTTCCTTGAATGAAGATGAATGTTGAAATCATGCGTTAGTTTTTTCTCTACGCCCAAATAATGGTTTTATTTTGAGAGTACACATTTTTGAATTGCGAACTGTGTCGTATCTCTTTAGGATCGATTCTGGATTGGTCCTAACGGCGCTCCGTTTTAGGTAGAAATGAAAGGTCAGAATCGCCACAAATTCTGCAACATTCATCATTTGTTTGCTTGGCAACATCTCATCTCGTACATTCCAAAGCAAGGTTTCGTCCTGATAACAGATGAGCGATTTTGGTCAGTACCCATCTATCGCTCATTGGTGAGTGTCGTCCTGCTTCGAAATGGTTTTCACCTGCATACACACATGCAGTGATAATTTGTATTGAAAATTGTCATTTGCTGGGTTTTCCGACCGCTCGCTGTCGCAAAATGGAACAATATAAAATAATACAATAAAATATATTAAGCCTGAAAGCGATACATGTTCCAAACGCTAGCGAATTATGACTTTGTCTGGTATCTGGGCAACCAGACCTGACATACAGACTGACCCACAATAGTTTAACCAAGAGCAAAGGTCCATGGGCCGCTCTGACGGACAATGACGAATAGAAGGCTATCTATGAACTCGAACAAATCGCAAAGTCTTATAATTATTACCAGTCATCACAACAACCAAGATAAAACCATTCTCATTGACTGCAGTTTGAATTGGCAGCCAAAAATTTATCAAACAATGGCACAATACTGCATTCTGAATTGGGGTCATTCTCCACATTTAAGCGAAAATTTTGCAATACAGCGGCGATACATCAGAATAGTTGCTGGATTCCAGTACATGGACTGTCGCAAAAAGTCTTATATTAATTTACATATTTTTGCCATTCCATGTATCTACATTCTTAAGTAATTAATGTATGTGAAAGGTTACTTGAGCCAGTACATAGCACATTATAGCATCCATATATACATATGGCTCGAAAAATACACAATCTGATCGTCTGCCGAAAACAAGAGATGGGTCCAATTATTTTGGCATTGTTTTCTATAAAGCACTACCAGAATAAAAATTGGCACGATTGTTCAAAAGAATTATGAAGTCATACTCGGCCAAATAAGCATTTTATAATTTCGACAAGTACTTCAAAAATGATATTGTGGATTTAACTGTGAAATGCACTTGCATTTAGCTTACTTGTATGTGACATGTTTGGATACGTCATCTACTTATACAGGGTGTCCAGTGGGAAAGTTCACTTTTTGATTCAAGAAAAAAATATAAACTTAATAAAAAGAAAATATTTATTACTATCAACATATTCGTAAATTCGGCGGGTTTTATTTCTTAAATATCATTGTCTCCAAATGTTTGCCGTTCCTTCGGACACACTCTTCTAATCGCGCGCGCAGATTTTGAAACACTCTCTTGCAGAGTTCCGGAGTGATGTTTATTTCTAGTCGAAAGTTGTCTTTAAGCTCCTCCTCGCGGATTATTGGAATACACTTTTGACTTTAGATAACCCCACAAAAAATAATCGCATGGCTTGAGGTCGGGTGACCAGTGAATGTATCCAAACTTCGATATAACTTTTTGAGGAAAAAGTGCTTTCAGCGTGTCTATCAATTCTCACGAAGCATGGGAAGTGGCCCCATCCTGTTGAAACCACGTGTTTCTGTTAAATCGACGTTCTGTTCTTACAATAGTAGCAAAAAAAAGTGTCAGTCATGACTGTTAATGCATAACAGTTTTCAACTTCAAATAAATACGGCTCAATAATACCGCTAGAGGATATGGCGCCCAATATCTGCAATTTTGCTTGTTCATATAACCGCCTGAGTGAAAATGGGCCTCGTCAAAAAGATTCAACATCCGTACAGCACAAGATTTCCGTAATACGTAATCACTTTCCTTTAAGGCATGGACTGATTGGATTTTAACGGGTGATTTTTTAAGAGGTATAGGATTTGATTTTCAAAAAAAAAAACACAAAAAATTAAATCTTTATTTGAGTCGATAGAACGGTCGATATAATTTAATGTTTAAAGATTATTTCATGTAAATGTTGGCCGCGGCTCCGCTTTAGATGGCCCATGAATGAATGAATGAATGAATGAATCTTGAATTTTAGAGGCATCCCGGCCACCATAAGGAGCCAGTGCATAGGCCGCTTAAGCGGGCCCTTATGCACCTCTACAATACTTAAATCACAAGCCTCGCCCTTTTAGCGAAGTTGAGAATCGCCTTGAGTCCAAGCTCCTTTACGTCCTGAGGGTCCAAAGTAATGGACCCCAGTATAGTCTGCCTATAGTAGCTCAGAGCTTCACAGCGACACAAAACGTGCGCCGAGGTCTCTTCCTCTACTCCGCAGCGTTCGCATAAGGGATCCTCAGCCACCCCCATCACGTGCAGGTGCCGCCTTAACGTGTTATGGCCAGACAACAGTCCCACCAGCAACCTTAGGTTGGCTCTACCCAGAGATAGGCAGAAGCGTCCATCCTTAGCACTGGGCCCTTCAATGAGCTCTCGTGCCTGGCGGAGATGTCTAGAGATACTTCTCCATTTCTGAGAGTGTTGTCTTGCAACCCACGTCTCCATTTTCCTCCTAGCTTTATGCGCGGTTACTCCTAGAGCTGGCTCAGGACCAACGAGCTTGCTGGCTGATCCTGTTTTCGCCAGAGTGTCCGCCGTCTCATTGCCCCTTATCCCAGCGTGCCCCGGTACCCATATTAACGATACCGGATGCCTCGCTGCGAGGCAATCCAGAGCCTCCCTGCATTGCAATACAAGACTCGAAGTAATCTTACATGCACTTAGTGCTTTCATTGCAGCCTGGCTGTCGGATAAGATTGTTATTCTTCTCCTAGGCCCACCCTCCTCCAGAATGTGAGATACACAAGCCAGAATCGCAAAGATTTCCGCCTGGAAAATGGTGGTGTACTCACCGAGAGGCAGAGATAGCCTAGTTCTAGGTCCAGAGACCCCAGCACCTGAGCCCTCTTCGGTGACCGAGCCGTCCGTGTACCAGACCTGCCCGCTCACTTCGGAGAGTCCTCGGCTACCGGCGTCCCACTCCTCC